ATATATATATATCCTTAACCATAATAGTGGTTCATAATGAAGAACTGTTAGTGAAGAGATTCAACCTAGAAATAAGGAGGACCTTTCTGACAGTGAGAACAATCAACCAATGGAACAGCTTGCCTTCGAAAGTTGTGGGAGCTTCATCACTGGAAGCTTTCAAGAAGAGATTGGACTGCCATCTATCAGAAATGGTGTAGGGTCTCCTGCTTGAGAGCGGGGTTGACTAGATGACCTATAAGGTACCTTCCAACTCTGTTAATCTGTTAACAGTAACTCAGAAGGGAAACCCAGGTTTGAATCCGAGCAAGAGGACAATGATGAAACAAATGCTGTCCCAGCACAAGCTTGGCCCCTTTTGGACAAGTATTGCAACTTCTCAGACATACGTAGGAAAGGGGCAGAATTTGCCTCATGATATCACATCCCTCACTCCCACATTTTGCTGAAATGGTTGGATTCTTTGGGTTCCCTTCTGATTTCAGGGAAGACTTTACCAGGAAAGGACAAAAGAGCGAAAGAAGCCCTGTTTACATGTCGCAAATGTTAAAATTCCCTCAGGCGAGCTTTCCTTCCCCTCCGAGGCATCCTTGCTTTTCAGCAAAACAACCTAGTCACATATATCTCCTGCTCATTCCTATTCTTTCAGCAGCCTCTTCACCTCTTACCAGGGATTATATGAGGACTCCCTCAAGATAAGAAATCTTTCATGCGGTCCATGACCAATAATAAAGTTTGACAATACACAGAGAGAAAGGGGGGAAAAGCCATCTACGAATAAAACTGGATAAGCATATCCATAAAACATTTCTACATATTTCACATATACTGTACATAGCAAACCCTGGCTGAAGTTTAAGTAGCGGAATCACAGCTGTCTGAGAGTAAAATAAAAGCAATTGAGGTGACCAGAGAATTTGTTCAAATATGAGGACATCAACTATAAACAGGTATCAGCATAAAAATGCACAAACGAAATGTGATTTATAATTTCAGTATTCCTTTAGCTGGTGCACAAAGGCAGAACCTTAGTCAAATGGAATTCACTTGTGTTTCCCTTCTAAGACTGCAAAATGCTAAAGAGAAAATATTTACAGATTGTGATTTGACTTCAATATCTGGCAGGTCTAAGAAGATTAAGGGAGCTAATCAAGGACCCAGATTGTTGGGGGCAATATGCTGACTCTGTAAACTGCTTAGAGAGGACTGTAAAGCGGTATATAAGTCTAAGTGTCATTGCTATAATTATCCTCCATTTGCTGTGATCATGGCCTGAAAACTATGATTTTCCCAATAAACAACTAGCTAGAAGACCTCCAAGGTCTCTTCCAGCCCTATTTCCAAATAATTTAAAGGAAAAACCCAAATTTGTCTAGGCACTAACTTTAAAAAAGAAAAGTTTCTTTTCAAGATCAGTAGGCATGTTGATTTCTGCAGATGAGGCATTAGTGTAGAAACAGTTTTGTTTAAATTTGGTTTACATTACTTCCTATTTACAGTGGCCTCTCCTCCCCTTTCCTCATTTCCATATTTACATTCATGTACTGGCAAATTCATAGCTGTGCTGTCATGATGAATGAAAATGTACCAGAAAGTGAGATGTACATGAGCCGCTAATTGCAAATGACTATTCCAATTAAACTATGTAAAACAGAGTTGACAACCTGGCCTTTTAGATATTGCTGAACTACAACTAAGAGCATTTTTAGCAAGCAGGGATAACAGGGAGGGATGTTAACCTATTGTAACACATCAGATTGTAAGAGAACAGATTGCTAAATTGTCCTGCATATTCATAAAATCACTTTTCTCTATGGGTTGTCCTTGACTTACAACCTCTGTTGGGACTGGAACTTCTGTTGCTAAGTGATGTGGTCGGTAAGTAAGTCACACCCTCTTTTAATGTGGTCATTAAGTGAATCTGGCTTCCACCATTGACTTTGCTTGTCAGTAGCCCCTTGGGAAAGTCACAGATGGTGATCTTAAAACTCCAGGATGTTCCAATTGCTAAACATCCAAATTTTGATCACATGATGAGGTTGCAATGGACATGAGGGTATGGACTGGTGGTAAAAATCACTTTTTTTTCAATGCTACCATAATTTTGAGCAGTTGTTAAAAAATGGTCGCAAGTTGAGATCTACCTGTATGTAGAAAGGTAGCACAGCCAGAAGAAACCTGAGTAATTTTTACCTGGAAAAATTTGCCAAACATAATTTCCTACTTCTCCACATTGCTTTTTCCAGATATTAGCAATGAACTTCTCAAGGTTTGTGGGTGCAATATCATGCATGTGGAAAAATATGCAGCATAGAAATACTTTTATCAGACTACAGATACATTACTCAGTTCTGTTACAGAATTGTATTCTAAATCCAGAAAGTTGTTGAAATGCAACTGCCAAATGCAGCCCCTTCTTAACTATATTCAGCTTCCAGTTATGCCATTGAGATATTCACTCATTTAGATTTTCCTGACTGAAAATAAAGACATGTTTCCAAAATGACCTACCTGTGGTATTAGCTGCAAATTCAATATTCTTGCAACTGACATAGACACTTCCGAATAAGTGGCTCCTATGACAGCTTTTACTCGGGGTGTGTAATCTGAATAGTTGCATCTGAATTCTACAAGGTCTTTGGAAGCATTAAACTTGGACAGGAACCTCAAAGCTGCAGCCATTGCCCTGGTCACTTCTGCACAAGTGTCATAGATTTCATAGCCTAGTTTAATTCCTGGTAGAAGAGGAGAATTGTTGACGATTTCTATGGCATGGACCATCGCAAGACTCTGAAGAAACACTTGAACTTCAAAGCTGCCAAGAAATACAGAAATAATTGTTAGCTGTTTCGACAGAAGCTGTACAACATTATATAAAATCAGGATACATGTTGCCTATTTGCTCACAATAAACTCAGAGTGATGAACTCCCTTCAACTTATAAGACGGATAATGCACACCTTGGACAGAAAAGTCAGACCAACTACCTGGCAGGCATTTATCAATATTATTTGAACTCTCCTCTACAGATGTAGTTAGTTAGATTTATCTCTGATTTCCCAAAAACAATAAAAGTGCCATTCTGCAGTGGTTGCGCAGATTAAATAACCTTTGAATGTTTTCTAGGATTTTGGAACACGTGATTGTATTTACATACATACAGATTATTCTAGGTCTCCATCTACTGTATGTTGAAATACTCTATCTCTGACAACTAACTGTTTGGATCAGACTACTGACAAAAGCAACAAGCAATCTCCACTGCTTTTAGGCTACTGAGCCCCACAATGTGCTTTTTCTTCCTCCAAATGTCATGCTCAAAACTAGTTCAACTACGTTTTAGAGCAACTAAGATGATCAAAGGCCTGGGGACTAAAACATATGAAGAACGGCTGCAGGATCTCAGTTTGGCTAGTCTAAAGAAAAAAAGAATTAAGGGTGACATGATAGCAGTATTCCAGTATTTGAGGGAGTGCCACAAAGAAGAGGGGGTCAAATTACTCTCCAAAGTACCAAAGAGCAGGACAAGAAACAAAGATTGGAAATTAATCAAAGAGAGAAACAACCTGGAATTAAGAGGAAACTTCCTAACAATGAGGACAATTATCCAGTGGAACAGATTGCATTCAGAAATCATGGGTACTCCATCACTGGAGGTTTTTAAGAAGAGGTTAGACAATCATTTATCTGAAATGGTATAGGTTCTCCTGCTTGAGCAGAGAGCTGGACCAGAAGACTTTCAAGGTTCTTTCCAGCCCTATTCCTATTCCTATTCCTATTCCTATTCCTATTCCTATTCCTATTCCTATTCCTATTCCTATTCCTATTCCTATTCCTATTCCTATTCCTAT